AAAACCAGTTAGGCACCTTAGGCATTTGTGAAAACTTATCTATGATATGGTGGATATTGTCCGACTGAACTTGAACAGTCTGAGAGAAATCAGACAATTTAAAACAACCCATTCCTGGGGACTGTTCACATCCCATATGTTCTTTTAACAGTAAATAGTCTGTAGTTGTAAGATTTTGGAGTGCTAGAATTTGCACTTCTCCTAATTCTTGGTTGAGTTCCAACAGTGTAGATCCAGTCAAATTTGTTGTTTTACTGTATGCACAGGCCAGCTTAGATATCTCCTTCTTCATTCCCATGGCAAGTCCAGGAACCGTGTCCCACCTTTTTTTTAAGTGGATTGTTTGTTCATCTGTCTTCCTCATCTACAGTTGGCTTCTAATGTTTTCTTGATTGAATTTAATCTACATAGAATAAAAAATAACTTTATATCATAATTCTTGTAAATACCCCAGTCTATTAAGCATAAATTTTGACTATTATTATTTAATTGATGTTTCTAACTTACCTATGATTAAATCTGCCTTTGTTTTCAGTTGAATATTTTACATGTGTAGAATGGAAGTAAGTGTAAATGACAATGGACATACATTATTGTCCAATAGTGTCAGAAATAATGTAGTTGTTCTCTCTTTCTTGTCCCTGAATATGACACTATTTGAGCTGAGCTCTTATTCTATCACTTTCTCTGCCAAACCCTTAGGGCAGTGGAGGCCAGATAAAATACAGGATGCCCAATTAAATTGGAATTTCAGATAAACTTTTTAAGCATAAGTATGTCCCAAATATTGCATAGGACATACTGATACTAAATATTATTCCTTTTTCACCTGAAATTCAACTATAATTGGGCATCCGCTATTTTTACTCGCCACATCTGGCATCACGCTTGGGGCTAGTTTATTAACACCTGCTTACTTAACACCATCCTCAGCTAGGTGTTGGGCGATGGGGTGGTGGGTGCTGAAAGAGAAGATATTTCCTGTTCTCAGAGAGTTTATACTCTGGTTTCCAGAGAATTCTGCAATCAGAAAGATAATCTCCTGGACAATTTCAGTGACTGCTGATATTAACTACAGAGTACAGTTTCTGCGTTTTCCTGCTGTCTAAAGGCAGAGTTATCCACATGCCCTGATCATGTAAACACCTGAGACACCCCTACCCTGGGGAGTCTGATTCCTTTGGTGTGAAGAGGAAACCAGATGCCAGGGGTCTGGAAGCCCTTGAGACTGTCCTGCAGAGATGAGTCTGTGGAACTCTGGCAGGCTTGGTGTCCTCTAAGTAACAACGCTGGGCATAATGTCACTGTCTTAATTACAACCCGCTGAGGTAGCTTCAGATCTTCCACTCTTTTGCAACCTGTTCAAAATCACTGGTATACATTTTGCAGCGGTGACAGTCTTTGTAAGTTGCTTTACAAACAAAAAATTCATCCCATTTGGTCTTCAGTCGGATTCTGGAGAAAAGCAAGGAAGCTTATTTCCGCTTTACGGAGGAGGCCAAGGGAGGCTCACAGGGTAAGTTCACCGGCGAGCTCTGGAAGCAGCCCGGGCTGCAAAGCCCGCCCTCTTTCCACCCCGCCAGGCGACCTCCTTTCGCCTGCAAAACGTACAGGAGGCCCACCGGGGCTGGATCTGGAGCCCACCTCGAGGTTCAGGTGACTTCCGCTCCCAAACCGGCCCGCAGCCCCTGGCCTGCGGTTAACAAGCCCGCGGGGAAGAGGTCCGCGCGCTGCTGGGCGCGGGAGCCCGGAGCCCCGGGGTCGCGATCCGGGCCGCCGCGGCCGCCAGCCGGCTCACCGTGCGCGGAGGGCAGGCCGCTCGGTCGCCGGCCCCGCCAGCAGCACGGCTTCCGGGTACGCCGCGCGGTTCCGAGCCTGCGGCTGGCAGCGCGGGCGCGCGGGCACGGCGGCGGGGGCGAGCTCCGAGCACGCGCGCGGCCGGTCCTCCCGCGGCCGCCCCCGGGACTCGGAAGGGCCGCCGGGGGTGTTGGCACCGCGTGGCGCGCGGGGCCGCCGCCGCCGCCGCCGCCCGGGTCGGCCCGGAGGTTGGTAGCTGGTGGCCGGAACGGGTCCGGGGGAGGCTACGTGTGCACTTTGTTGCTTCGGTTTAGAAAAAAAGAAACGCACACGGCGCTTTCCGTTTCCTACCCCAGCGCCCGAGGGCGGGCAGAGGAAGCGCCCGTCCCGCCGTGGAGACAAAGGCGGCGGGGGCCGTGCGCCCAGGTCAGGGCTGGGCTCCGGGCGCGGGGCGCGGGGTTCGCCCGGCCGGCCGAGTCCACGCGCGCCCCTGCCGGCGTCCCCTCCCTTGCCTTGGTCCCTAGTTTCCGGCTCGGTGGCGGGGACCTCGGACGCCCGTCCCGTAGGCAGTATCAGAAGTGCACCTGCCTGACGGGGCGCCAGAGACCCCCTCCCCCGAAGTTAGAGATTTCTTTTGCTTTCCACTCTCTGGACTCAGTTTCCCTCTTTTCCAATAAGTCCAGCCTTCAGGTGGCACCTGTCTTTATGTGGAAAGGCCCCCCTCCTCTAAATCCCTACCAAAGCGGACAGGAAAGGTACTGGGGTGGCACTGATGTTGGGAAGTGTGCGGCGTCTTGTTCACGTCTCTTGGATCGGGGCAGTCCCGCTTGAGGGTGGGCGTCCTCGGTCGTTTGCATTACGTGGGGGTGAGACATCGTTTCTGTTCCCTTCCGTTGGTATTCCTCATTCATTCGTTCATTCGCAGAGCTAGGCCCCTGCTGCACTTGAGGGATCTCAAGGGCCTGCTTGGTTAAGTGCCATGGGAGACGAGAGAGAAGGCTTCACCGAGAAGGTGGTGGTTTTTATACCAGGATTAGAAGAGTATTTTTCCTTCCATTCTTCATGTTCCATCTTTCCTATGATTTTTCTCCCTCCTTTGTGAAAGTCCCCACCTGTGATTAAGTGTTGGCTAACCAGTCAGCTCTGATCTGAAGAATTCAACTGATATTAACAGGTACGATATACTCGTCACCTGTTTGAAATCCGTTATTTCTAACCCTTAATAGCAGGGAGGGATAGGCAGTTATCCCTTTTCACAGCACAATAAAGAAAGCTTTAGAGGAGATGCCAGGTCCACAGACTAGTACATTTCAGGGCTGGCTTTTACACTCCTCTTTCTGGATCAAAGCCTGTGCTTTGTCTACTGTTTATTTTGCTCCCTCTTTGGGAAGCAGGTTAGATAGATTAATTTAGGGTGAAGGTCCAGTCTCTGGAGAGAGCAGTCATTTTGTGGGTGCCTAAGTGTTGGTGGGAATTCTGCAGGTAGCATCAGGAACTAGTCAGCAAAGGCCTCACTCATCTGCAGTCTCTAGCTTCCAGCTCAGGGGCTGGCCAAGGGCAAGTTCTCCCTAATTGTGGCATTGCCTTGGGCCAAATCCTTGATTTCTTGTAGGGGTTCTTTACATTTTTTTGGGTGCCATGGACCTCTGGAGTCTGGGGAAGCCAACTTTTAAAAGACATAGGGTTACAAATTATATTGAAACATGGTTATCAGAAGAGTGTAAACAAGTCAAACTTGTGATGGAGGATTTTATGTATTAATGCCATTAAGTGACAGAATTCGGTGCCATATCAACTCTTCATATGTCATAATTCGGATGCCCATGTAACTGGTATTTTGCAGTTTTTGTAACCGAAGATGTCCTTCGGTATGAAAGCATCTGTAACTTTTATTGGTGACAAAAGTCACAAGAACTGCTCTTACCAGTATAGTTTCTTGCCTGTATTTATAATTAATGAAATTTTGAATAGTAGTTAGAGGTTCATGAAAATAAATATGTATAAGGAAAAAAATGTATGGGCTCATGGTGCTTTGAATTCTACCTATGGACACTTCAGGGGTGGAGGGCTGGGTATCCTAAATCACAAACCCTGCTTAGTGGTTGTTTATCTTCCGAGTTCTTGCTAGTCACCCCAGAGCGTTACAAATAGCTCTTTCCTTCTCTTTCAATTCGTGTCTCTTTTTTGCCCTCTTTCATGGTTGTTTCTGATGGTAAAAGCTGTTGAGAGGGAATTGCTGGATTGTTTACATATTGTACCTTCTGTGGGTAATTCTGCTGGAAAGTAATCACGTGATAGTAGATATGTGTTAACGTCAGGGAAGAAAAGGGAGTTAATAACTACATATCCCATGTTTAAAAGATTTCAAGATCTTGTTATGAACAATTTTATGGTAATACGTTCAAAAATTTAGGTGAAATCGACATTTTAAAAAATAAAATGCCTCACCTAAGATGGAAGAACTGAAATATCTGAATAGTCCTGTATCTGTTAAAGAAATTAAATTTGTAGCTAAAAACCTTTCCAAAGTGAAATTTCCAGGCCCAAATGGCCTCACTAGTGAAATATTCCAAACATTTGAAACAATGAAAGAGACTTAAAGAGGGAACACTCCCTGACTGCTTTTGTGAGGTTGGCATAATTTTGTTACTAAAGCTTGATAAGGGCGTTACAGGAAAATTATCGTCCAAAATCTCACAAAAACATGCAAAAGTCTTAAAATGATGTATTGGTGAAACAAATTTAACAGTCTATAAAAAAGGATGTTAAACCATGACCAAATGGGACTTACGCCAGGAATGTTAACTTCATCTAACATTAGAAAATCAATAAATGCAATTTAACCCCATACACAGATAAAGGAGAAAAGTTATTTGATAAAATTCAACCTGTGTTCTTGATAAAAACTCTTTGCAAGCTAAAACATTGTTGAGAGAAATTAAGGATTTAAGGTGACAGAGGGTATATACGTCATTGCTCTGCAAATCTATAGATTTAGTATAATCTTAAAATCCTTGCAGATTTTTTTTAAAAGGAGGAGTTGATAAGCCACTTCTAAAATTTTCTTAGAAATCTAGTCAATCCGAGAAAAAGATCAAAGTTGCATGACTTAAGGCGCTATAATCAGTATGTAGTGTGGTATTGGCACAATGCTAGACGAGTCAGGGAACTGAGTAGGGAATCCATGAACTTGCTTACACATGTGTGGTCCCTTGATGTATTGACAGAAACGATATTGCAGTAGAAAAAGGATAGTCTTTTCGGTAAATGATGCTCGGCCAATTGGATATTCATGTGGACAAAATGAATCTTGATCCTCTTCCTCATCTCATATATAAAAATTAATCAAGATACATCATGTGCTTTAATGTGAATGCTAAAACAATAAAGCTTCTAGAAAAAAGCAAAGTAAAATATCTTCATTATCTAGGTATAGACAAAGGTTTATTGAATAGGATACAAAAAGCACTAATTATAAAGGGAAATACTGGTCAGAACTTCTTTTCATCTAAAGACTCCGTAAAGGAAGTGAGAGGGCAGGCCACAGAATGGGTGAAGGTATTCCTACTACACGTATCCACTAGAGAACTCACACCCAGAATGGAGAAACGACTACGAATCACTAAGAAAAAGCTGGACAAGTCACTTCATAAAAGAGGATTTCCAAATCCCCCCAAAATATATGAAAAGGTGGTTAACCTCATTAGTAATTAGGGAAATGCAAATTAAAATTATAATGGGATGTCACTCTATACTCAGCAGAGAGGCTAAAGTACGATACGAAGTACAGGTTTCCACTATCTGAAAACAAAATGTCCTTATGAAACTTTTGTAAGCCGAAATGGTCTACAGTGAACAAGCAGTTACCGTTAATTCATGTAGAAAAAATTTTGAGCATTCCCAGACCCAAAAGATAATCTCCCTTAGGCTTTTCTGATACCTTAGGACCACATCTTGCTAACAGATGCACAGAGTTAAGTCCAGATAAAGCAGGGAGCTCATAGCCCTAGTTCAAAGCTATGGCGGCTTGATACTGAGATGCTGAGTGTGGTTCTTGGGGAAGGAGCTTGGTGGCCACCCTCGCTGCTCAGTCGGCACACTGCCTCTAGAAGGATTTGCTGCAAAACAAATGCTGGATGCTATTTTCGCTTTTTGCCTTTTTTGTGGAACTGAAAATCCTTTTTGGATTTCTTTCAGTTAGCGAAAACAGGCACTAATGTGGGACTTTTGTAAAAGCCAAGGGGTGTGATGTGAACTTTTGAAAAGTGGGGAATACTATCCTGGTTAGGATGTGAACAAACTGGAACTCACACATAGCTGATTGGTATGGAAATTAGTATGACTTTTTGGACATTGTTTGCAGTATCATATATTAAAGCTGGACATGTATATCCCTTATGACCAGCTACTACTCCATTCTTAAACACTCAGCAATAGGGTGTACACACACACACACACACACACACACACACACACACACACACCCCAAAAGGTATATATGTATATGCATAGCATTGTTATTTCTAATGGCCTGAAAACAACCCACATGCGCATCAATAGTCACATGGATAAATGTGTCAATTGTTTGTACAGTGGGATACTCTGCAGTAATGAGAACAAATTACTACCTCACACAAGAATTACTACCTCACAAACATAAAGCTGAGCCAAAAAACAAGGTAGACACAGCTGAGTAAGTGCTCTGATTCTATTTACATGAAGTTCAAAAATGGGCAAAATCAGATAAAGCTGGGTGACTGAAGTCCGGCTAGTGGTCACCTTTGGTGCAGTTACAGGAAAGGGCAGAAGGGTCTTCTGAGCCATTACATTTTTTGTCTGGCTGGTAAATATTGGAGTGAGTCTACCGTTTGAAAGCCTTAAATTCTTTTTTTCTTTAAGCACATTTTAATACAAAATTAAATATATTGTAAAAATTTTGGTTCATTCGTATGTCCTTAATCTGGGGAGTGTGAGACATGGTGGGCATGATTCTTGGTGATTAAAAAGGATTAAAATAGGATAAGAATTTTCAGGGGAAAGAATACAATGTCATGTGAGTAACTTTATCAAGGACTTACAGAACTGACTCCCTTTTGCCAGTCTTATACAGCAGACATCTGGCCGAAAGGCTGTTCATATAAAAAGACTTGGAGTTATATTTGTTATTAAGATTGATATCAGCGTGAGATGGAGGCCAAAATTTAAAAAAAAGCTAAGGTGAGAACTGAATAGAAAATTTTGTTTTCAG